CCCAGTGGGGGATGTGCAGGAGGCAGCTGATCAATGTTTCTCTCTCATCGATGTTTCTAACTCTCTGTCTCTCTCCCTTCCTCGCTGTGGAAAGTCAATAAAATATATTTTAAAAAAAAAGATATAAACTACCAATATAAGGAATGAAAGCAGTGACATCATTAGAGTTCCCCTAAATAGCAATAGAATAATAAAAAAATATTACCAAAAAAATAAGATATAAACTACCAATATAAGGAATGAAAGCAGTGACATCATTAGAGATCCCACAAATAACAAAAGAATAATAAAGAAATATTACCAAAAAATTTTTGTCTTTAAATTAGACAACTTAAATGGAATAATTCCTTGAAAGGCACAAACTCCCAAAGTTTCTCCAAGACACATATAGCTAAAAAGACACAATTAGGTTACCTTATGATATGTTTGATTTGTACTAAGATAGCATTCTCCAGGGTAATGTTCAAAGCACTGCTCAGGTACTGATTGAACTCCTCAAAGAACATTTCATTCCCTTCTTCATACTTCCCATAGTTCTTTGAATATTCCTTTTGAATGCAGTGATTGGTCAAGTGGCAGGTTTTGTCTTGAAAATTATCAACATGATACGGTTCTGACGCAGTCCGCAGCACGCCCTCTCGATAGAGGTAGATATTGTACTGGTGGTCCACCAAGACCCAGCTTCTGCAAGTCAACAAAAACAGTTACTCACGTCCTCCCAAGTTCCTTCACATCAGGTATCTCTATCATCCCCTGGTTTTCTTGGCGGGAAGTAGAGGAAGAAGGTAGGTTCTAAATTATGCAGGCAGGCCACAACAAGTAGCTGAGACAGTGGGCTAGCATTGTAATGATCAAACCAAAGATGTCACCACCAATGACAAGGGGACTCAGATCCATTCGAGAGCCAGCATTTTAAAGAGATTTGATGGGCTTGCTTCAAAGGTTAATCTACGAAACCTCCATCTGCCATGTTTGGCCATTTTAAATAATTTTAAGAGGAAGATTGTTCATTCTAAAGCTGACCTGACATAAAGGCAGCTGAGACCCAGTCCTTCCTGAAGAGCCAACAGCCAGGCCACAAGAGGGCTGGGCTGAGGGTCATGCAGCTGTAGAAAGCCCCTCACCTCTTCTTGCCAGGCTCTTTGCTCGGAAAATGAAGTCCACAAACCTGAGATGTGTTCATGAAATCCTCAAACAGGACATAAATAAGGTCAGGACATATTATTTGTCTGGGTCACATGATCTGTTGTGTCTGAATTACATGTTCCATGTACCTCTCTCCCATTGTAAGGCCCATTTATATATGTATGTATGCATGTGTATATGTATGTATTATTTTTTAATCCTCACCTGGGGACATGTTTATTGACTTTAGGGAGAGAGAGAAAAATAGAAACATCAATGTGAGAGGGAAACATCAATTGGTTGCCTCTTGTATGTGCCTCAACCAGGGACGGAACCTGCAACCTAGGCATGTGCCCCGACCGGGAATTGAACCCTCAACCTTTCAGTGTAAGGGAGGACGCTCCAACCAACTGAGCCACACCAGGTGCAAGGTCCATACATTTATGCCCTTCCCTTTGGATCCACAAGTCATTTTCATTAAAAAAAAAAAAAAAAAGTAAACGAACAAACAAAAAACCCCCATAATCTTAGGAACATATTTTTAGAAAGAAAAATATTGAAGGAAAAATAGAGAATTAGATACAGAAGCTCAGTTCCATTCGGCTGTGCTCAGTGCTGGTAACGTATTAAACACAGTCAAACGCTTCCTCACATTGCACCTCCCCCTCCTCCCCGCACATCGCTGCCTGGACGCATTACCTAATGTCGAACTTGCGATGCCCCGGCTCCAGCAGCAGAGGGCGCTCGAGGTATTTCTGGATCACGTGCACCTGGCCCTGGTTGTCTATGAAATCCAGAAGTTCCGCAGCGTCCGAGGAGATGAGGATGCCTTCACCTGACCAGTAAAATTAAAACGAAAATTAGTGCAGCCCGTCCCAAGAGGAACCGCTCCCTGCAAAGCCAGGGAGGAAACACTGACAGTCGGCCTACTCACTCTCCTTTCTCCACCCTTCCCTGGTCCAATCTCTCACACTCTCCCCTCCGCCCACCAAAGCTCCAGGGTCATTCAACTTTTCCTCCATATAGGGTTGCAAACACTGTCTTGGCCAGCTGCGACCATGATGTTTCATTTCTAAAGACACTGTAAAGGTCTAGGCGCCCTAAATAAATGCCGCTCCCCTATGGATCACGGTGTGTGATAAAGACGTGTGTGCTGTGATAAAGACGCTGTACTGCCCGTGACCACGTCTAACATCCTATCTTATGGAAACACCTGGAAGGTTAGGGCATAGATACAAAAATGCAAGTGGATCCCCTGCAGTTTGGTAACAGAAAAAAACTGGCTACATTCAAAGTGTCCATCAACATTACATAAATGATACAATATCCTTTTTAACAGCTTCCCTGATATAATTTACCTACCATAAAACCCACCCTTTTACAGAGTACAATTCAATGGCTTTTAGTATATTCCAGTAATTATCATTACAACCTTATTTTAGAACATTTTCATCACCTCTTGAAAACTCTACATCCATCAGCAGTCCTCCATTCCTTCCTCACCCCAGCCCCTGACAAACACTAACCTACTATAGATTTGCCTGTTCTAGATGCTTCATATAAATGGAATCATCCAGTATGGAGCCTTTTTGTGTCTGGCTTTTTTAAATTGAGCATAATGGTTTTTTGTGTGTGTGTTTTTTTTAAATATATTTTATTGATTTTTTACAGAGAGGAAAGGAGAGAGATAGAGATAGAGAGTTAGAAACATCGATCAGCTGCCTCCTGCACATCCCCCACTGGGGAAGTGCGCGCAACCCAGGTACATGCCCTTGACCGGAATCGAACCCGGGACATTTCAGTCCGCAGGCCGACGCTCTATCCACTGAGCCAAACCGGTTTCGGCATAGAGCATAATGTTTTATTTTTTAATATATTTTTTTATTGATTTCAGAGAGGAAGGGAGAGGTAAAGAGAGACAGAAACATCAATGATGAGAGAGAATCATTGATCGGCTGCCTCCTACATACCCCTACCCCCACATTGGGGATTGAGCCCACAACCCAGGCAGAGCATCATGTTTTTAAGGTTCATCCATGTTGTAGCATGTGGCAGTGTTTCATTCCTCTCTATGACAGAATAACATTCCATTGTATGGATATATCACATTTTGCTCATTCATTCATCAATCAGTGGATATCTGAGTTATTTCTACTGTTGTTTGGCCCTTACGAATAATGCTGCTAGGAAAATCTGCAAAGAAGTTTTGTGTGGACATATATTTTCAATTCTCTGGGGAATATACTTAGGAGTGGAATAATACAGTAATTTTATGTTTAACTTTTTAGAAACTACCAAACTGCTTTCCAAAATTGATGTACCATTTTACATTCCCCCAATATATGAGAGTTCCAATTTTTTCACCTTCTTACCAACACTTGCTGTCATCTGTCTTCATAATTATAGCCAGATTAGTGGGTGTGACGTGGTATCTCACTGTGGTCTGATTTGCATTTTCCTAATGCTTAATAATGTCAAGCATGTTTTCATGTACTTACTGTCTTATCTGTATGTCTTCTTTGGAGAAATTTCTATTTAGATTCTTTGCTCACTTCCTAATTGGGTTATTTGTCTTTTTGTTATTGCGTTATATGACTTCTTTATACATTCTGGATGCAGACGCCTCATAAGAGACATGATTTGTAAGTATCTTTGTCCATTCTAAACAGTTTCATTATTGCATGGACCCCTCAATTTTCTCTTCTAAAACCACAACTTGCCTCCCTCACCATAGCACCCTCCAGACAACCACTAATTTGGTCTCCATTTCTATAGCTTTGTCATCCAGAAATGTTATATCAATAGAATTATACACTATGTGACCTCTGGGAATCAGTGTTGCTTTTTTCACACAGCATAATTCCCTGCAGATTCAGCCAAGTTGCTGATTTCAGCAACAGATCATTCCCTTCTATTGCCGAGTAGTACCCTGTGGGTCGATTCACCAGAGTTTGCTTACTCCTTCACCTGTTGAAGGAATCTGAGTTGCTTCCAGTTGGGGCTATTATGAATAAAGCTACTGTGAATCATCACAGACAGGGTTTACGTGGCCATTTTTTCTTTTCTCTGGGACAAATGGTCAGGAGCGTGCAAGTGGACCCGGAGCTCACAGGAAAGGACCTAGCTGCAGAGTACCTGTATGGAGATGGACATGCAGAAGTCTCCAGCACGTAGATTAACATTTAAGGATATGTAACTAACTGTGCTATCTACCCTCAGGGTTCAGATGAGAAGAGTCACTCATCCAAATACATCGTGGACGTCTAGCGTACAACTGCACAGAGCACTGGGAGCCTAAGGAACGGCAACGCCAACTCACCTTTGGCACCGGAGGATGACTTTGCAATCCAAACATTGCCCTCTCCGTCTTCCTTCTTTTTGTTATAAGAAGCCAGGAAGAATTCCCTTTCGTCCGTCCTCGAGCTAGGGATCGGTGGGTGGATTCCGTTCTGCGCAGGAGCAGCCGGGGTCTTGAGGTTAGTGGGGTAGATCACATAGGACTCGGGGAACCATGTGCAGGACTCGGCCAGCTCTGGGCTCGTCTTGATTAGCCTGGCAGACGACAGAGGGTCAGTCATCGGTCATTCTCTTCAGAAAAGCCAGTGCTACCTCCAGAGCTCGTCAAGGAGGCAGCGTGTAACCAGGGCCCGGGAGCTGGTCTCCTTGTCCCAGTCTTTGCTCTTCCCTCCCTGGATCAATCTGTAATGCACTACAGATTGCACACAGCTATCCATGCAACCTTAAAGGCGTGTGTCAGCTGGGTCAAAAAGGGACCCAATGTCCAGAACCTTGGCTCTTTTTAAAAATGTATCTCCAGCCCTAGCTGGTTTGGCTCAATGAATACAGCATTGGCCTGCGGACTGAAGGGTCCCGGGGTCAATTCCGGTCAAGGGCACATGCTGGCGTTGTGGGCTTGATCCCCAGTGGGGGGTGTGCAGGAGGCAACCAATCAATGATTCTCTCTCATCATTGATGTTTCTATCTCTCTCCCTTCTCCCTCACTCTCTGAGTAAAACCCTAATATGTAAACCAATATAGTAAAACCCTAATATGCAAATCGACTGAAGGGCAGAAAAACCAGCAGAACGATCAGTCGCTATGACGTGTACTGACCACCAGGGGGCAGATGCTCAATGCAGGAGCTGCCCCCTGGTGGTCAGTGTGCTCCCACAGGGGAGCGCCACTCAGCCAGAAGCCAGGCTCACAGCTGGTGAGCGCAGCAGCTGTGGCAGGAGCCTCTCCTGCCTCTGCTGCAGGTGGGCAGTAGGGAGCGAGGGGTCTTGGACTGCGAGAGCCCCGGACTAAAAGAGGGATGTTTGCATGCTGACTTAGGCAGGGGGAATCGGGCCTAAGCCGGCAGGAGGACATCCCCCAAGGGGTCCCAGATTGCGAGAGGGCGCAGGCCAGGCTGAGGGGACCCCCACCCCCCGACTGTGCACAAATTTCATGCACCGGGCCTCTAGTGTGTGTGTGTGTGTGTGTGTGTGTGTGTGTGTGTATCATCTCCAAGGAAACTTAACTTGAAATAATCCTGAGCCAACACATTCCTGGCTTCAAGACAGACTAACGGAGGAATCTTTCTAAAGGGACACTGGACGCCAGTGGTCATAACTAAATGTATCTCCTGCCCCCAAATTACATGACACAACAGAAGATAAAATCAGGCTCTGGGCGAGGCACTTAATAAACAGCAGGGCTTGCGAAGGGCTTCCCACCACATCTACTCTCCAGTCGGTCCCTTGAGGGGGAGGCACCAGCATCCCAGTTCATAGATCAGACACGGGGCCACACAAAAGTGAGTACATTTCCCAGCATCACTCAGGTTGTAAGACACAGGCACGATTCAAGTCCCTAACTCCCAAGCCCTAACTCTGCCTGGCCCTCCCTCCCCAGGGTCAGAGCAGCCAAGAGCCAATCACGGGCCTTCCCTAAGCTGGGCTCATCTTCTGCAGAACTGCGAATATTAAGCTTCTGTTAAATTCACCTGCAAAACCCAGTCTGTGTGCAAATGGCAGAAATAATGAAAGAAAATTTAAAACTGAGATTTAAAATAGTTATTTTAAAGTTGAAGACAACAGGATATGAGTTACTTGAACTTAAAGGAACAAATGCATTTCTAACTCACTGAAAGTTCAACTCTCTCTGCACTGTCCAATGGGGTGGCCACTAGCCACATGTGGCTTCTGAACCCTAGAAATGCAGCCAGGCTGACACATTTCAAGTGCTCAGAGGAACCGAATTTTACATTTAGCTTAGTTTTTAACTTCAAACCTAAAGCCTTGTAAAACGTTTGTCCATTAAGCACAACTTCATTGTTTTGGCAGGAGGACATTTCCCTTTAACCACTGCAGGACCTGACGTGCCGTGTCGCGGCGCGCACTGCCAGGCGCACTGCTGCATCACCATAAACACACCACTGTTCCACTCGGGGACAATGGGCTGACTCGGTCCATGCGGGCTCTTTCCAGGCGATAATGAGACACTGTGATGTGTTTATTATGCAGACAGCATGAGTTACAAGGACAGCTAGATAAATCATAATTGGCAACTAAAGTAAAATTTGTCTAGTTAAAAAAATAAATACGGACAATTTTAAAATTTAAAATAAAGGTAAACTACAGATGCAACAGAACTGGACAGAGACACAGAAGCTCTAACTTCAACCAGAACAGTAAGGGCAGTGGGGGGGG